TTTTTATTTGGGCAGCAATCCCTCTTTTATACAAGTTTATAAATGACTGACATGGCACTGTGGTTAATTTTTATTTAATTTAATTTTTATTGTGTTATAATTTTCTAACTTTTCTGGGCATAAATTAAAAGCCAGAAAGAGAGTGGTTGAAAAAAAGGGAGGGAGGGAGGGAGGAAGGAAGGGAGGGAGGAAGGGAGGAGAAATCAGAGTAAAAAAATGGAGAGAAAAAACTTAGAGCAAAAAGTGAACACAAAAGATAGAATGAAAGGACAACCACAATGACAGTATCGAGTGTAAGATTTGTTTATGGAATAGAAAAAAAAAAAAAGAAGAAAAGCTGACCTGAATGGAACAGGATTTTGAGAAACGCTACAAAGCAATCCTTGTTCAGTTTGAAATTACTTCTTGGTTATTTTGTAACCTACGAAACACGTCACGCCGTTTTTGTTAATATTTAACAGTATTGAACGAATTCACTTTTTTTTTTAAAATCTTTTCACCCTACGCAAATGGCTTTTAGGGCGTGAAAGAGAATGAGAAGACTTTATCGAGAAGCAGTCGGGTGCAAAAGGAAGTAGGTAGAGGATGCCTTGGCCCCGGACATCCGTATCGTGAGGGCATCAAATGAAAGAGTGGAATAAAAATTTAGTTTATATTTAATTTAAACTGTTTACCTCATGATTCTTAAAATGTCTTCCGTTTCTCACATTTCTCACTACTAGGCCTTCTAGACCCTCACAAACTTGTGTTTTAGCGGCATACAATCAAGGACTTTGTCCCCGGCATCACCAAACATTACCAAGACCCTGCATATCACGGGTGAAGAGAAATAACAATAAAAGAACAAGTTTCAAGAAGACTGAAGATGGCCATTGACATTGCATTTACATTTTTGAAGATTAGAAGCGTCAGAGAAGGAAGGAATCGGAAGGGAGTTCCACAGATGATAAGTGCAAGAAAAGAAACTATCAGAATAGAACTGACGGTTGCGTCTACCTAGTTTAACAGTAAAACGGTGAGACCTAATTGCCAATCGAGTAGCAAGCTTATATTCATGTAGTCGAGACACTGAAGAAAAAAACCTATCAGTTGCCATGAAAATATTTGTAGAAAAGACAGAGGGAAGCTACTTCACGTCGGCGGGAAAGCGACTAAAATACAAGTCAGGATCGGTGACATTACAGAACCTTCTTTGAATTTTGTCAAGAATTTCGATATATATATATATATATATATATATAGATTGATACTAAAACTATTGGATACCATAACAATAATCATGGACAGTTTAATTAAACAATAAATGAAAGCATATTACAATAACATAAATAGTTTAATTTTGGTTTTAATCGTTTTTTTTTTTTTTTTGTCTTTCGTCAGCCAGGCTGATGCCAACCTCCAAATAAGTAACTTATTACACTTTCACGATTTTACATTTCCCCCCGATATGAATTGAATGATTATATCGAGTCAACTGCCAATTCTTTTTTAAGATTGATTGATTGATTGATTCCTTTTTTACGGTTTATCAATACTTTACAGGTTATTAAAAGTTAAAAAATATTTTTAGATTGTAATTTATTTTTGGAGATAATGGTTTAGTGATACAAGTCTTACTAATTAACCCATATCGGGGGAAAAGAGGTAGATTCATACCTTTCCCAAGGGTATTTGCGCGTAAGTGAATATAAAGAACCCAACGGGAATTTGAACTCGGCTCTCTCCGATTAACAATTCCGAGTCATTATCCATTACACCACCCGCACATCCAATTACATCCTTGGTATGGAAGAAAAGCTGTCACCCATCTAGGTACAGACCAGGCTCGATACTGCTTAACTTTGGGGAGAAAAAAAAAGTTTTTTTTAACGTGTTGTACCGGTAAGGCTTTCTGTTAAGAGAGTTGGTTCACTTTGTAGTGTGAGACATTTTTGATTTCACCAGAATCTAAATTTGCACATTTATAAGTCGACCATTCGTCCGTCAATTACATATTACTGACACTTCTGGCCGGCTGCTTTCATAACATTCTGGATAAAATCCAAAGAAGAATCTGCAATATTATCAATCCTGACCTGGTATCTCGGCTTCAATCATTTTCTCAATGTAGCTTCATCGTGCCTTTTCTGTAAATATTTTCATGGCAATTGTTCTGATGAGCATTTCCCTTCGATACCCCCGACTTCATGAATTTAAGCATGTGGTTGTCAGCAAAAGAAACAGCCTAACAGGCAAATTACAAATTGAAGATGTCAAAAATGCAATAATTCAAATATCGGAAAGTACCACAGTGATATTCGAAGTGGCATTGAGATAGCGAAAAATGCCTTCCAAAAGCTAAGCAAAGTATTAAAAAACAGGAAAAGAGTACTGTTACTTAACATTAATCTTCCTATATGGCAATGAATGCTGGATAATCTTCTCACAGAGGAAGAAGAGACTTGAAAGGTATGTGGTTCTACAGAAGGATGCTGGGAATATGCGATGTAATCAAACATGTGAGCAACGACGAAGTTTTAGAGAAAATGGAAACAAAAAGGACACATATAATTAACACCAGAAAGTGACAGTTTAAATTTCTAGGGCACTTAGCAAGGAAAGAAGGCTTGGAAATTTTGATACTCCCAGGACGGATAGGAGGCAAGATGACAGAGGAAAGCAACAACGCATAATCTACATGGTTCACTTGAGTATATTGATGGCAGAACAAGGATTAGGAGAGATAACAAAAAGAAAATTATTAAGAGCTACTGGAAATTGTGGAGAGCCATGATTGCCAACAGCACATAAAAGACTAGATTGACGGTTAGCTCTTATCATTTTACTGTTGCTAGGTGTAACCGTATGTTCTATTCTAATAGTTTCTTCTTTCACTTCTCGTCTGTAGATCTGTCTTCAAGCTTCTTGCTTTCTTATAAAATCATCATCAACGCTCGACTGCTTCAAGCGTCGAGTGGGCCCGAGGGTAGAGGAAACGGACAGCCTCCCCTAGATTGATCTATCGATCCGTCATAGATTGCCTTGATTCTTTTTTCCCATAATTCTTTCAGTGGGCTTTCCGATAGTTTGGCAGCTCCCATCTCCTCTCCAAATTCTTGACCAAAGTTCATAGAATATGGTGTTGATCGCCTTCAGTCCGTACTCTTAACCAGTGTTTCCCAAACTA